CTGCGTGATCCTGCCAGGGCCGGACTATACTTTCAAATACGTTTTTCTCGAAGAAAGCAGTACAAATAAAAAATATAATAAAAATAACCAATGTCGATTGTTAATAGTATGGTTTAAGAATATTTCATTTTAGATTCATTTGTCTCCAAATCGTATTGTACAAAAAAATAGTGCAATAATTACCTCCTTGCGGCGTGCTGTTGCAGGACTCGTAGCCGTCATCCAGAGTGGATGTCGGAGTGGATCTCTGACATGTGCTAGTCCTGCTCTGCACTTCTTTTTTATCACTCCCATCGTCATCCTCTCCTCTCCCTACGCTTTCTCTGTTACCCATCGACGACGACAGTACAGCTTCCTTACCGACAACATCCGTTTCCTTTCCATTTTCGAACGATTTTCTCTCTTTCATCGAGGCAGTAGCATCATCTCCAGCCTTCTTTGCGTAAACAAGTTCGTCGTTCAATTTTTTGGCGCGCTTTTTACTCCTCAAAAATATGTGCGTGATACTCTTCGGTGGCCGTTTTCTATTTTTGGGAACAATGCCCACCAGAAACGGATCGGGCTGGTGATGGTGAATGGCCTTTTGGAGGGTTTTAATTGGAGATGTGTAGGACTCTAGGTCGGTCTCTTTTGCCAATGATTCGTCTCTCACCTCGCCCTTATTATTGTCTATTGATTTCAGGGGTAGATTCTCGTAGATACCGCTCGACATGACGGAATTTCTTAATATACGGTCTCGTCGAGATATTAATGAACGACAGGATCACGTCATCACAAAAGATTGAAAGTATGAGAGACAGAATGAGAAAGAGAGAGAGAGAGAAAGAGAAAAGGGGTTGACCACTTTTCAACACGATACCATGTGGAAAATAACACGTATCACATTTTTTTACTCTACATCTGTATCTCTGCAACGCTTCTTCTTATTGGTACCAAAATATATACTCTCCTAAAACAATAAAAAGGATAATTATTTAAAAACAAAATACCAATTCGAATTTAATTTGAGAAAATTGGAAAATGGTCTATAAGTCTAAGTAAAATCTAAATAAGTAAAATTTATCACTTTACAAATTTTACAGCAACATTTAAATTGCCCTTGTAAATGTTTTAAACCTCTACCTATTACGTACTCTTGATAATGACAGAAATAATATTGTCGAAACAGAAATCAATTTTTTAAAAAAATAAAAGCACTCCAAGTATGAGATTGATCACCATGTGGAGATCACCAAAAAATGAAAATTTTGAGTGTTTCCTTATAAATATGTCACTACAGAATTTTGACATCGTATTATAATACACCTATCAATTTTGTGTGCCTTCTAAATATGCAATGAGTAGGGTAAGATTGGAGCTAGAATTAGGGAAGAATTTAGACACAAGCAAGTCGCATCATCAAAGTCCTTTAGTCGGCATCAAAAGGAAAGTCACAAGGACATTAAACTGTGTAGAATTTAGGGACACTTTATGCTAAGAAGTGAAATCGATGGAATATAGTTTATGAGAAAATAAGGCTTGGGTACTTGGTTGATCGACCTTAGTTCAGATAATCTATACATGTTGGAGTGCATATTTTAATATTGATCGCTATCAACGTATTTCTTTTCTATTTCATGAAAACTATATATACAGGGTGTTTTTCAAAGCAAGCTTTAAATATGGAATCGCATGGCGAGTAATGCAGCATAGTTTTTTGAAAAATCAGACGAAGTTGCAATCCAAAGCCGGCCCTGGGCGTGAATTCGCAACGTATAGAGAAATTGCGATAAAAACTAATCAACTACACCGATGAAAAATGTAACCAGTGACGGTTGTGAAACGATTAATAAAGTAAATATCAACAGCTTACTAATTCACTACTACACATAATAATCTTTAGATGCCCATTGCGATAACAATTAATTAAATTTAAATAACTACTTTGTTCATCGCTGACAGTATGCAATACTATTTAAAGTAGATACCTCGACTTGGTATTAAGAATACAAAATACAAAGAAAATACTAGTACAACACTTTTGCTACACCTGGTGAAATACGGCGTTGGAATGTCGCATTTCCCTGCGTGATCCTGCCAGGGCCGGACTATACTTTCAAATACGTTTTTCTCGAAGAAAGCAGTACAAATAAAAAATATAATGAAAATAACCAATGTCGATCATTCGAGAACAATCGGCAGAAATTTTTATAAATTCTGAATCGGTCCCTAATATTATCNTACGAATACAGTAATTTTGAAATTTGTTCTATCAGAAACGTTTTAATTAATTGCCAGATTCTCTTGATTATCGCCCAGGCGCTTGCAAAGTTAATATTTAATGGATGACGACCCTTGCTCGAATATGGTGTCGCAATCTGCTACCACCTGTTGATCCGCTGCAATCCAATTTTACTTTACAAGTTCATCTTAAGAGCGGGAAGATGGAAAATATTATTTTGTTACGTGATGAAGGAGTAATATCGCAATATTTCGTGTCCTTGGCTGGTCGGTAATGAATTTCAACACCAAAAAGAATATTGTCTGTTATGTTTTAAGTTTCTACCTACTCAAACAATTCGCATAAAACAAACGCTAAAAGCAAATTTGACGAGTTGTATTAAAAATTAGAGAAACTTTCCGGCTGTTTTATTTGAATTGTTAAAATGTAGTTTTACAAAAATATAGTTTACAATATTTATCATTTTCTGTATTGTTACTCGTAAGTAAAGCTAAAATAGCCTTCTATGTCTTCTAAATTCAAATTAATCTTCCCCTAATAGTTCTTCCGCCCTTTATTCCATCCTTTTTCGTACTATTCTAGTTAAGAATTTTGAAGTCATCATCATCATAAGGTCGTCAGTCCTAAGACTGGTCGGACACGTACCTTCACTCTTTCCTATCCTGAGCTAAACTTCGCATTTCCCTAAAACTAGAACAGCCCACATCCTTAACTATTTGCGAATAGGGTAGAGTTCTAGATGATGGTCCCCACCATCATCATCATCATCATCATAAGGTCATCAGTCCTAAGACTGGTTGGACACGTACCTCCACTCTTTCCTATCCTGAGCTAAACTT